CAAAAATCCTCACAAGTAGACCAAAAAGCAGCATCACAAGAGATGGAGAAAAGATTGTAGATGTCTACGAGTTATTACTTGGTTCTGCAATCAATGCCAATGGAAGCAGCAGTCGAGACATCAAAAGACATATTGCATTGGGCAGATCTGTTTCAAGCGCTGAAGAGCAAAGATAGCTCCTTGAAGACAAAGGTGCGCCTGACACAAGCCATGGTATTTTCACTTGCCTCATATGCATATGAGAGCTGGACAATGAATGAGGAAGACTGAAGAAGAGATGATGCTTTTGAGTTGTGGTGCTGGTGCAGAATGTTGAAAATACTGCTAAAAGAACTAACAAATCTGTCCTGGATGAAGTGCAGCCAGAATGCTCCTTGGAGGCAAGAATGGCCAGACTTCGTCTCACCTACTTTGGTCATGTTGTCAGAAGGGACCATTCTCTGGAGAAAGATGTCATGCTTGGTAAAATGGAGGGTCAACAAAAGAGGTAAAGGTCCTCAACAAAATGGTTTAACACGGTGGCTGCAGTGATGGGCTCAGTAGGATCTTGAGGCTGGTACATGACTGGGCAGTGTTTTGTTCTGTTGTACATAAGGTCACTATGAGTCGGAGATGACTTGATGGCACATAACAACAATAAACACAAGGTAGATCAGTTAGTACAAATACTATTCAAATTTATGTGCCAGTCTATAATTCTGAAGATGAAGAAATTGAAGATTTTTAACAACTTCTGCAGTCTGAAATTGATCAAACATGAAATCAAGATGCACTGATGATTACCTGTGATTGGAGTGTGAAAGTTGGAAACAAAGAAGCATTTGTAGCTGGAAAATATGACCCTGGTGACAGAAACAATCCTGGAGATTTCATGATAGAATCCTGAAAGATCTACAAATTATTTACCATAAATATTATTTTCAACAACATAAATGGTAACCAGAAGTGGACCACACCAAATAGAATATACTGTAATCAAATCGACCACATCTGTGGAAAAAGCCAATGAAGACACTGAGTATCATCAGTCAGTATTAGGCCAGGGGGCAACTGTGGAACAGACCATAAATGGCTTGTAGGCAACTTCAAGTAGAAGCTAAAAAACTTTAAACAAGTCCACACAATCCACAGTATGACCTTGAGTATATCCCACTTGAATATAGAGGCCATCTCAAGAAAACATTTGAAGCACTGAATACTAATGACCAAAGACTAGACAAGGTGTTCATGATATCAAGAACACTGTACATGAAGAAAGCAAAGGGTAATTGAAAAGAAAGGAAAAAAAATGACCAAAATGAATGTCAAAAAAGAGTCTGAAAGTTGTGCTTGAATGGAGACTAGCTAAAGCAAATGCAAGAAATGATGAAATAAAAGATTTGAACAGAAGATTTCCAAAGGCTGCCCCAAAAGACAAGATACTATAACGAATTGTGCAAAGACCTGAAGTTAGAAAATCAAAAGTTAAGAATATATGTTGGGCATTTCTCAAGCTGAAAGTACTAAGGGAGAAGTGAAACCTTGAGTTACAATGTTGTTCTATGGGCAAAATACTGAACAACACAGGAAGCATCAAAGGAAGATGGAAGGAATACAAAGTCACTTTCTAAAAAGAGGTGATCAGTGTGCAGTGATTTGGGAGATAGTATATGGTCAATATCCGATGGTATTGAAGGAAGAAGTCCAAGCTGTTCTGAAGGTCCTGGCAAAAAACAAGGCTCCAGAAATTGATGGAATACCAGTTAAGATGTTTCAACAAATGGATGCAATGCTGAAAGCACTCACTTGTTATTTCAAGAAATTTGGAAGACAGCTTCCTGGCCACAAGACTGGAAGAGATCCATACCTGTACAAATTCCAAAGAAAGGGGACCCAACAGAATGCAGAAATTATCAAACAGTATCATTAACATCAGATGCAAGTAAAACTTTGCTAAAGATAATTCAAAAATGTCTGCAGCAGTACATTGACAAGGAACTACCAAAAATTCAAGTTGGATTCAGAAGAGGATGTGGAATGAGGCTGAAAGCAGAGAATATTAGAGAGATATTTGCCTATGTTTTATTGACTATGAAAAGGAATTTGTGTGGTTTATAACAATCTATAGATGACATTGCAGAAATGTGAATTCCAGAACACTTACGTGAGGTAATTGTTTGAACAGAACAAGGGGATGCTATGTGGCTTAAAATAAGGAAAGGTGTGCAATAGGGTTGTATCCTTTCTCCATACTTATTCAATTTGTACACTGAGCAAATACTCCAAGATATTGGACTATATGAAGAAGAATGAGGCATCAGGGTTGGAGAAAGCCTTACTAACAACCTGCAATATGCAGATGAAACAACCCTGCCTGAAGAAAGACGTGAAGTGCTTACTGATGAAAATCAAAGCCATCAATACGGATTACACCTCAACATAAAGAAAACAAAAATCCTCACAACTGGACCAATAAGCAACATCATGTAATGGAGAAAATATTGAAGTTGTTCATGACTTCATTTTACTTGGATTCACAATAATGCCCATGAAGGCTGCAGTCAAGAAATTAAATGATGTATTGCTTTTGGTCTAATCTGCTACAAAAAACCAAAAAACCAAATCTACTGCCATCGAGTCCATCCTGATTCACAGTGACCCCCAGTGGATTTCCAAGGCTGTAAATCTTTAGGGAAGTAGATTGCCCCCATCTTCTTTTTGTGGAGTGGCTGTAGGTTTGAACTACCAACCTTCTGGTTAGCAGTCAAAATGCCTTAGGCACTGCACCACCAGAGCTCCTCACCTGCTGCAAAAGATCGCTTTAAGGTGTTAAAAAGCAAAGATGTCACTTTGAGGATTAATGTGCACACGACTGACCCAAATCATGGTATTTTTAATCGCCTCATGCATGTGAAGGTTGGACAATGAATAAGGAAGACCAAAGAAGAATTGATGCTTCTGAATGATGGTGTTGGTAAAGAATGCTGAATATACCATGGACTTCCAGAAGAACAAACAAATTTGTCTTGTAAGTAGTAAAGCCAGAATGCTCCTGAGAAGTGATGAGGGCAGACTGTTTCACATACTTTGGACATGTTATCAGGAGGCCAGAGAAAGACAGTCTACTTGGTAAAGTAGTGGGTCAGTGAAAAAGAGGAAGATTCTCAATGAGATGGACTGACACAGTGGCTGCAATAACGGACTCAAACATAGCAATAACTGTGACAGTGGGGTAGGAACAGGCACAGTTTCATTCTGTTATACACAGGGTCACTATGAATTGGAACTGACTTGATGGCACCTGACAACAGCAACTGTGTTGTTCATCTAGATTAGGGGAAAAAAAAAAAAAAGGCACAAAACAAGGAGGCATAACAATTTGTAAAATCGATTGGCATCGAGTTAATTTCAAACATAAGACCCTATAGGACAGAGCAGAACTGCCTCGTGTTTCCCTGACTGTAGATCTTTAAGGAAGAAGACTGCCACATTTCTCTCTGAAGGACCTGCTGGTGGGTTTGAATTGCCAACCTTCTGGTTAGCAGCCAAGTGCTTTAGTCGCAGTATGTCCAGGGCTCCTCTAGGTAAGTTGAGGTTGGTAACTGCCATCCAAAGCTTACAATCTAGTTTCAATAAAAGATGCACATCACTTCCACAGTTAAATCATGATATTAAAAGGCATGGGAGCAAATGCCTGATGGAAGGAAGAGTTAAGGAGAAAGGCGGAGTAAACATACCTACCCTTAAGGATGGAAGGAGCCCACCAGGCTCAGTGGTTAAGCTCTCAGCCAATATCTGAAAGGTCAGCAATTCAAACCTACCAGCTCTGTAGGAGACAGATGTGCTTCTGTAAGAATGACTATAACATACTCATTGCCACTGAGTGGATTCCAACTCAGCCACCTTATAAGAGAGAGTAGTACTACCTCACTGGGGTTCCAAGGTTCTAACTTTTATGAAAGCAGATTGCAGGTCTTTCTCCTGTAAAGTGGAGGGTGGGTTTGAATTCTGGTTAGCAGCTAAGTGCTTTAATAACTGTGCCACCAGGGCTCCTTGGATACCCTATGAGGCAATTCTATTCTATCCTGTAGGGTCACTATAAGTTGGCATCCACAGGACATCAACTGGTTAAAGATGGGAATGATTTGCACTATTCCCCTGTTCTCCAAGTTTGGTTAGTTGTGAGCACACTCTATTTGGCCCTGAGCCAAGGCCAAGTTATTTCCTCAAAAACATCATGAAAACACCAACAACATGTGGTTTCCCTGATTATGAAACAGGAAATACAAATGTCTGCCTGGCTGACTTCCCCGAGAGTCATTCTGAGGGCCACAGGAGATAAAGCACATGCCAATAAAAACCAAAGCCGTTTGCCAAGCTGATTCTACCTCATGGTGATCCCATGTGTGTGAGAGTAGAAGTGTGCTCCATAGGGCTTTCAAAAGGTGATTTTTTGAAACAGATCACCAGGCCTTTCTTCTAAATGCTCCTGGTGGACTAAAACCTTGAGTTTCTAACCTTTCTGTGAGTAGCCAAGTGAATTAACTATTTCTACCACCCAGGGGCTTCAAAGCACACACAATGCTACCAAATGGTCATGTCTGTGATTGTCCCAGGGTCCAATTTCTAACTGTTCTCTACTATTCAGGCCAGAAGCTAATGCATGTCTAAGGAAGAGGGAGGCATATCATAGCTCTAACTTTTAAGATGAGCTTTTATAGTGTACAAATTTCTTTATGTCCATTATTTCCTTTGAGTGTTACAGTAACTCTTTTTAGGGAGGGAGTCATTATCCTCTTTTCATATCCTGGATGAAAGGAAATTATTTAGAAGGTAAATGATCTGCCTAAGGCTACATCAGAAGAGACAGCAGAGCTGGGATTTAGATTCTGTTTCTTCAGAATCCTATTCCTGCAAACTTTTCTCACAGTCACTTCTATTCTATTTCCTCACTTTTCAGCAGGCACCATTGTCCATACAACACATTCTGTGTTTTTTCTTGCCTTTTTTCCTCTGCTCCATCACGCCCGAGGAACTGCACAGATCTGGTGGCTGACAGGGGAAATGGTGACACCCATTCTGAACTTCAGGCTCAGCTTCTCACTGGCTGGGGGCCTGAAGGTAAATTTTTGTACAAGGGACGTGAAGAAAATAAAAAGCTCAGCCCTGGCCAACTGTTCTCCAAGGCAAGACCGTTTTCCTGAAAAGCAAAAACATAAGATTGAATTATCTTCCCTGGTGAAGGAGGTGCCTAGCAGGGACTGAAATTCTTTTCCCCATCCTGCCAAGCCTGAGCAGAGGAAAGACCTGCTTGTCCCCAAGGCTTTATTCACAGTGGGTTGTTTAATCCTGATAGTGACCTGTGTAAATTACAGCACAGAAAGTTAAGTGCAGATCATAGACCCAAATGACTACAAAGGTCAGGAATGGGAAACACAGGTACTGGTTGTCAAACAATAAGGGGGCTTGAGTTGATCTAGAAAGTGGATGTGCAGCCTAACCTTCCAAAATTAACAAACAATAGTAACAAAAGCAGACAACAAAACACAAAATTTAAAAAACAAAAACCCAAACCTGATCCACTGCCATTAAGTCAATTTTGACTCATAGCAACCCTATAGGATAGAGAGAACTGTCCTATAGGGTTTCCTAAGCTCTAAATCTTTACAGAAGCAGATTGCCCCATCTTTCTCCCACAGAGCATCTTGTGGGTTCATAATGCTGATCTTTTGGTTAGTAGCCAAATGCCTTAACTAGTGTACCACCAGAGCTCCTATAATAACAAAAGCAGACCACAAAACAATATGGAAAATTCTGTGTTAAATTTTGCAGTCCTTGAAAGGAAACTCCCCAAAGGTATAAATAAGTACTGATCAGAGTTGGGGTTCTAATGTGTAAGGCATCTCTACTGGGTGAATGGTGTCCCCTCAAAATTTATGTCCTGCTCAGAACCTCAGAATGTGACCTCTTTTTTTAATAGGGTCACTGCAGATGTAATTATGTAAGAAAAGATCATATTGGAAAGGCAGGACCTCAGTCCAATATGACTGGTGTTCTTATAAGATAGACAAGGAAAAACACCATGTGATGACAGAGACAGAAAGTGAAGTGCCAAGCATTGCAGAAAATTACCAGAAGCTAGGAGAGAAGCACGGAAGAGACACCCTCAGAGCCCTCCAGAAGGAAATAATCTTGCTACATCTTGATTTTGAACTTCTAGCTTCCAGAAATGTGAGAGAATAACTTTTTGCTGTTTTATGCCACACAGTTTGTGGTAATTTGTCAAAGCCATCCTCAACACTAATACAAAATACTTTCCCTATCTCATGTTTTCCTTCTGAATTATTGGGAATTTCCCTCACATGGATGGATGGTGCTCTCCACTGCAACAGCTTTTCTATCTCTCACAGCGGTCCTGCTTACACAGAGGTCCTTCTCAAACAAGGGCCTTTGCTTTTAATGTTGAGCCCAGAGCTGATCTTTCTCTCCACAGTTCACATGCGGCACTGCCCTGGCCAACCCACTAATACAAGTGTAGAAAACTGGAAGCAGAAAGATGGAGACCAAATTCAACTATTCCCACTCTGTAGGCACATGATTTGGGGCAAATTAAGTAATCTCTCCAGGCATTAGTGAAAATGTATGTGTGTGTGTGTGTGTGTGTGTGTGTGTGATGATAACTTTCTTTTACATATTGTATGGACTGCACACTCAATCCAAATAGTGCAGGTCATTTACTAATTTATACAGTAAAATAATTTTTTTTAAATGTCACTTTGATAATAATAAAAATTCTAGCTGTAAAATGACATCATTAAATTGATAGGCAAAAATAAATTTATTTTCTCTCAGTTTCATCAAAAGTATATTTTGAAGATGGAAGGGAGGAAAAATAGATGGATAATTAAGAAATGGATTAGATAAAGGTGAAGGGAAAAGCAACATAATAAAAGTGAGTGACTAGTACAGTATCAGTAAGATTAAGGAAGACACAGAGAGGTACACAAGAAACACAGACAATAAAGGCACATAGTATTGCATATACAGTACTGTATAAACAATAACAGCAAACACTAATCTATAGGTGGGTACATAGGTTGACAGGTATGGATAGGCAAATGGAAATATACCCAATATCATACATATCCAAAACCCACTGTCCTCGAGTCGGATCTGACTCATAGTGACCCCTCTCTGGGTTTCTGAGGAAGTAGATTGCTCAACCTTTCTTCCAAGGAGTGGCTGGTGGGTTTGAACCTCCAGCCTTCTGGTTAGCAGTCAAATGCCTTAGGCACTACACTACCAGAGCTCCTACTACCATACACAGGTTTGGCAAATGATATTCCTACATGTGTATTTGTATGTGCTATAAGAATATCCATATGCAGTTTAAAGAAAACAGGAGGCAAAGTTGGGATAACTTCCCAGCCACAAATAAGCCCCTTGAGGGGATGGGTCACTGGGTCTGCAGGGTGAGAATCATGGTCTCAGGACACACCAAGCTCAATTGGTACAACATGGTACACAAAAATATTGTTCTACATCTTACTCTGGTGAGTAGTGACTGGGGTCTGAAAAGCCTGTGAGTGGCCATCTAAGTGGCAACCATTGGTCTCCTCATATGGAGCAAAGAGGAGGGAAGAAAATCAAACATTCATGGAAACAACTAGTCCAAAGGACTAATGGACCATGAGAACCTCAGACTGTTATCATCCTGAGACCAAAAGAACTAGATGGTGCCTGGCTACTAATGCCAACTACTCAGAAAGGGATAAAAATTAGAGATCCCGGACAGAGTGTGAAGAAGAATGTGGAACAAAATTCAAAATCATAAAAAGGCCAGGATTATTGGTCTGACAGAGACTGGTGAAACCTTGAGACTATGCCCCAAGTACCTTTCAGGCCAGAATTGATCTCACTCTCATGGCTTAACAATAGACAGGTCTACAAGCTGAATGCCTGCACTAGGAAGATGTACTTTATAGAACAATCAACCATGGGAAATTAGAAGGGCAGCATTTCCAGAAGGAAAAATGTAGAGAGGCTTGAATGCACAGGCAAGAAGGATAGGGAGAAAGGGTAACTACAAGGAGGAAATGGGAGGTGAGTTGTTAACATTGTAGGGAATGTAATCAGTATCACAAAACAAAATGTATGTATGAACTGTTGAATGTAAAACAAATCTGCTTTGTAAAAATTCACCCAAATCACAACAAAAAGTTTTAATAAAATATATTTAATTCTGAAAGCACAAAATAATACAATTTAAAACACTGCTTTTTATCTCTTTCATGACCTGTAAAAAATACATTACCTACCAACATTTTCAGTCTCTCAGATTAATTGGGAAGCTGCTATTCCAATTGTAGTATTTGCTACTGCCTGGTGGGGACATGTATAACTGTGTGAATGCTGCCACAGAGTACCCTTGGGACCAATGTGTCCCACATCACCATCTGTATTATTTCAAAGTTTTTTTTTTTTTAACCTACATTTCAGCATGCCTTCCATTACTGAAAACACACTGAATCATCAAAAGATTCAAAGCATAAAATAAGTCTGTTATGAAAGGGTTAAAAACAAAAATCATTCAGTTATGGAAGTCCGGGTGGTAGTATCACCAGAATGGCTTCCTGTACATTAAAACTCTTTACCATGATACTTTCCATAATGTGTCTTATTTTGAAATAATTTCAAATACACAGAAGACTTGCAAGAACAGTACAAAGAACTAGTTTCTCCTGAATTATGTGATAGCAAATTGTCTGTGAAATCTTTCGTATGTATTTCTTACAAATGAGGCAATCTCCACCATAATCACAGACACCACCAAAGTCAGAATATTTGCATTACCACCATCTGTGCTCAGATCCCATTCAAGAATTTGCCATTTGTCGCAATGGAAATCCTTTATTTGAGAAGGTTCTAGTTGAGAATCATGTGTTGCATTTAGTTGTTCATGTCTCTTTAATCTCCTTCAGCCTGGAATTATTCTTTAGTCTCTCCTTCATTTTCATGAGTTTTAAACTTTTGAAGATTGCTTATGTTGACTGCCATCAACTTGATTCTGACTCATAGTAACCCATGTGATAAGAGGAGAACTGCCCTATAGGGTTTTCTTGGTTGTAATCTTTATGAGACCAGATTTCCAGGACTTAGTCCAATGGAGTGGGTGGGTAGGTTCAAACTGGCAACTTTTCAGTTAGCAGCCGAGTGCTTAGCCACTGCACAACCAGGGCTCTTTTTCGTAGATCTGTTATTCTGTGAAATGTGGCATGTGTTTCCTCATGATTAGATTCAGGTTGTAGATTATAGTTTTGGAAGGAATATCATGAAAGTGATGTTCTATTTTTATCATTCCATGTTATCAGGTAATAAGGATTTTGATTTGTTCCATTATTGGTGATTTGCCTTTGATCACAGGTTCTACACTGTAAAATTATTTTTTTTCCCTTTCTATTTAATACATATTTTGAGACTGTAAATAAAACATTACTCATTGAACTTTCATCCACTAGTTTTAGCATCTATTCATTCTCGGAAGGAAGATGGGGCAATCCACTTCCGTAGTGATACTGCCTCAGAAACCCAAGGAAGGGTCACTATGAGTCGGGTCTGACTCGATGGCACATAACAACAACAACAACAACAACAACATGTTCCATGGCTGAATTACTTGTTACTTTGATGGCAGCCCAATGGTGATTTTCTAATTTCATCATTCCTTCCACATTTATTAGTTGGCATATTAGTAAATGCTTGATCTCCTCCTCATTTATTTATATCAGTATGGATTCACAGATTCCTATTTTTATCCAAAGGGTTATAATCTGTTACTCTCACTATTTATTTTGATACTCAAGATACTCTAGGGTTTTTCATTAGTTGCCCATTTAAGCCACTTACTTCCCTACTTCCTGCCACAATGAAATCTTCTAGGCTCATCTTCTATTTGCCTCTCCTCAGCCCTGGAATCAGTCATTTTCCAGAAGCCATGGTTCCTTTTAGTGGATAATGATAACAAGAAACTAAGATCTGGGCTTTAAGAAGGCTCACTGATATCTGGGTGCTGTTGTGCTCAGGCTGTCTCAGTAGACACAAACGGGGAATAAATATGTATGCATATGTGAACAGATGTACAAATTTGTGTATAAACACCAACATCAAAATTGATCTATCAACTGATCTGTCATCATCTTCCATTTGTATAAAATCTTCCATCTATACATCAATAACCTCTCATTTCAAATCAACACAACAGAGTTCATTCTATAGATGTATCTACCTCCCATTATTCTCAACATATGTACTTACTGGGTTAATCTTCCCCATATATAACTAATTTCCCATCACTGCCATGGTCACCCTGTGAAGACCCCTCCTCATTTCACTTGGGCTCTGACACCTGCTCTAAGCTCCTGCTGCCCCCTTCCTTGTATGAACTGCCTCCTCACCCTACTTATGCTACAACATCCCATGCCAGCCACTACCACCACCTTTTTTCTATATGTTTTTAACAGCTTATTTTCTCTCTAAGTAATATATATTCACAAGAAAAAAAAAAGTATAAATAAAAAAATGCAAGGTGTCAAAGATGTTTGTAATCATATGATCCAGACAAACCTTTTCTTAACATTTTGACATATTTTCTCACAATCTTTACAGGGTTTCACCTGCAATGCATGCTTCCAAAACTGGTTTTATGCTCTGTAATTAATTCTATGATGAGCCCTGCTGGCACTGTGCTTAAGCCCTTGGCTGCTCACTGAAGGGGTGGCTTTCGAATCCACCAGTAGCTCTGCAGGAGAAAGATATGGCTATGTGCTCTGATAAAGATTACAGTCTCAGAAACCATATAGTATAGTTCTACTTTTCTGACAGGATTGCTATGAGTGGGCATTGACTCAAAAGCAATGGGTTTGTTGTGTGTTTAGTTAATACTGTTCTTGCTACCCTGTATTTTCCTGTGCAATTAAATATCCTTTGAACAACTTTGGTGTATGTCTCTATTTTATCCTCTGCTATCAAGGCCTATTGAGGAAATAAAATTAGATAATACATGGAAAAGCATTCATAAATGGGCTCAGGAAGTTAAGGGGCAGTTTAATGTAATGCCCAGCTCAGGGTATTTTCACTTTGTCACTTAGCAAGATGGAGTCATGCTGGGTGGTGCCACATGGAGACATTTCAACTGAAGCCAAAGACTACTGGGAGGACAGTAGGGAAGGCTGACAGAGGGACTCTGGATCTTCAAACTCCTATTTATTACAACTCACCTATTGAAAAAGGCAGAAAGGCTTCCCTTTTCTTAAACTGTCCATTCTCCAGAAAATGCTCCGGATTGAATGTGTCAGGGGTGGCCCACTCTGTGGGGTCACTGTGCAGTGCAGTCAGGTTGATCAGGACCATGGTCCCCTAGAGAAGGCAGCAAAGATTCAGGTAAGGCTTGACCCACACAACACACATACACAGAAGGTGACAGTCCCTGGCTCCTTGACCACACCTAAGCCCATGGTTTCCTGAGCCCAGTCCCCCAGGATTCTGCTCTTTCTCATGGGACAGTTCACAGTGATGGATCAGAATTGCCTGCTTGGAATTTAACCAGGGAATTTTCCCTACTATTGACTGTGGAATATATCTTCTCTAGATGGACAGGTCAGGAGCTCTGGTAGCATAGTGGCTAAGACACTTGCCTGCTAACCAGACGGCTGACGGTTCAAACCCACCAGCCACTCCTCGGAAGGAAGGTTGGGCAATCCTACTTCCGTAGTGATACTGCCTCGGAAACCCAAGGAGGGGTCGCTATGAGTCGGGGCCGACTCGACGGCACATAACAACAACAACAACAGATGGACAGGTCAGTGCAGGACTTGGGAGGGGACATGTATGCAGCAGGAAGTAATAATGGAGCAGCTGGCCAGATAGCAATGGACCAAAATCAACCCAGCTGCTCAGTGAGGGGACAACTGGGGCATCTCCTCAAAGGTAAATGGTGTCTGAGTCATCTCTGTTTCTCCTATTTTCTTTCCTCCTGTGTCTAGCATGGCACCCACACACACAGGAAGTTTAATAATAGAATCCGGTAGCCCAGGAAAGGCACTTGTATGCATCCGGTTACTTAAGCAAGAAACCTAGGAGTTGTCCTTAATGCATTCCTTCCTTGTACTCTATCTTCATCCAATCCATTAGCAAGAATGGCAGATTTCATTTCCTGAACTTCTCTTCATTCTGTCACCTTGATTCCATGTGCATTTCCATCACCCTAGCACAGTCTACTAGTTTGCTTGCTTATACTCCTACAATAGCATCCTAACTAAATCCCCAGGGCAGTGGGGGTTCAGTGGTAGAATTCTCATCTTCCATGAAGAAGATCCAGGTTCAATTCCCAGCCAATGCACCTCAAGCACAGCTACCACCTATCAGTGTTAAATAGGTTTTAACAGAGCTTTCAGACTAAGACAGACTATGAAGAAAGGCCTGGTAATCTACGTCCCCAAGTCAGCCAAGGAAAACCCTATGGATCACAAAGGTCCAATCCTATAGTGCATGGCGTCTCCATCAGTAGAGGGCCAACTCGATGGCATCTAATAGTAAGTATGTCCCACACCCACTCTTGCCCTTTTAATCTGCGCTGAATTATGAAAGCAGAGAAAGTATCAAAAATGATTTATCATACCACACTCAATCACCCACTTACCTTGCACTTAAAACCCTTCAGTGTCTTTGCATTAGCCTTAGGTTAAAGACACATCACGACCTTGTCAAGACCACTGTCCTCCTCCTGCCTGCCTTCCCACTTCAGTGGTCTTCTTTCAAATTCTCAAACTCGCCATGTTCCCACTCATTGCAAAGTTTTATATGAAGGCCATTCCATCTGCCTGAAGTGCTCTTATTTCCCACTTTGTCACCAAGCTACCCTTAATCATTCTTTAATTCTTGATTCAAACACGACTTCCTGTCTCTGACTACTTCTGTTCCAGCTAATTTGTATTTTATAGCATCCTGTAAGATTTTATGGTTTGTAATTATTGAGCTTAATCATTTGCATGATTGCTTTCTTACTCAGGGTTGTCCTTCCAGGTGAGCAGTTAGGTGCTTAATGAGTACTGCATAGTGCCTAAGGCATGTAACTGCTAACGAGAAGCCTGGCTGTGCAAACCCACCAGCCACTCCTTGGAAGGAAGGTTGGGCAATCTACTTCCATAGTGATACTGCCTTGGAAACCCAAGGAGGGGTCGCTATGATTAAAATCTGACTTGACGTCAGTGGGTTTTAATTGCTATTTTGAAGCTACTTTCCACAATAAACAGTAGGTAAGTGATCTACGGAAACAACTTCATTCTACTTCTACATGGATCTTGGCAGACAGGTTTAATATGCAGTTAACAGATGAAGAAATTAAAGTTCTGAGAGGTTACGTAACATGCCCACGGATACAAAGCAAAAGGTGGAAGAGCCGTGATTTGAACCAGGTCTGTCGGACACGCTGGCTGTCAGTCTCCATATGAGACAGTCAATTCGAACTCTTAGTGGGAGCTCTGGTAGCATAGGGGCTAAGGCACTTGACTGCTCACCAGATGGCTGGCGGTTCAAACCCATCAGCCGCTCCTCGGAAGGAAGGTTGGGCAATCCTACTTCCGTAGTGATACTGCCTCAGAAACCCAAGGAGGGGTCGCTATGAGTCAGGGCTGACTCGACGGCACATAACAATAACAACAACAACAACAGTTCCCAGGCTGGTTGTTAAAGCTGATTTTAAAAATAAGCCTCTTGAGATGGGCTGGTTCTTTGGAGTTCCATGAGTTGGTAGGAAAATGCAAGCGGCACCTGAATTTTAGACATCAATCTTCACCACAAGATAACTAATCAGTAAGGAAATCACTGCATGAACAGCTGCTGTCCCAGGCTCTGCAGTGACAGTGTCCAAGGGGTGATGGAGGAGCAGCCAGAAGGTGACGAAGGAGTAAGCCAAGCTCCTCTGGTGCTGCCTTTTGAGATTTTTTGGAGGTATAACACACTCAGAGGAACATAGACAAGTTGGAATGGACCCCCACAGACTGACCCACATGGTGAGAAAACAAATGAAGATATGTGAGAATGTGCAGTCTAAAGAGAGGACACTAAAGGGCAGTGGAGAGATGTATGCAAAGATCCCAAGAGTGGTGGGGAGAGTAAGATCAGAATTCCTCTGCTAGAGCCGGTGAATTCAACAGTAATCTACTTTCAAAAGTCAGCCATTCAAAACCCTATGAATCACAATGATCTGATCCACAGTTGATCATGGGGATGGCACTGGGCTGGGCAGTGTTTTGCCCCCTGTGCATGGGCTCACCATGAGTCTGGGGCTGATCCATGAGTCTGGAGCTGATCCTAAGGCAGTTAACAACAGCAATCACTGAGGAAAGTGAAACAACTCCTATAGAGGTACCATGGCACAGCACAAAAAAGACTATGAGTTTTGGAATCAGAACAGATCTGATTTTGGATCTAACTTTGTCACTTAGCAGCTGAGCGATCTTAGGTAAGCTACTTAATTTCTCTGAGTCTTGACTTCCCAATCTGAAAGATGGTTATAACAGAGTTATTCTGAGGACTGAGTGAGCATTTTCAAAGAACTTCAGTGGTTAATGGCACATGTTCATTGCTTAATAAGTATTGGCTCCTTTCTCACTCTTCAATAAGTAATGTTGCACACATCTAGATTGATTTTCTTTTTGTGTTAGTAAGTTCCCTATCACTGGGCTTATAAGTGAAAGATACCTGTGGGGACATTATGGTAGAAACAGTAGCTTGTACTTTCTCTGGAAGAGAAGAGAAAGTTCTATTATTTTTAAAATGTTGTGCTGTCTTCCAAAGATGCAGAGGTGGCCTTCAAGGTCTCACCTATTATGTCTCAATTAGTGAGCAGGTTAAAAAAAAAAAAAAAAGTTGTTAATCTTTAAATGACTTATTAAGAAAAACAACAGTAACTGATATTATCTCAGTTACTCTCAAATGTGTCTTCACAATTTTAACATTCCATAACCCCAGGATTATATGCATTATATGCAGTAAGTGCCTAGTCCTGTAAGATGTTCTACCAAGAGAAGGAAAAGGTTTCTGAGGCAAAATGTGACTGAGAACTACTGCCTGCCGAATCTCAACAAAGTTTGCCAATGAACATTGTTATTGTTACCTGCCAGCCATTGAATTGCCCCCAGCTGACGGGAAAACCACATACAATGGGATCAGTCTGTTGTAATCCATAATGTTTTCACTGGAGGATTTTCAGAAGTGGGTCACCAAGTCATTTTCCCTACTCCATCTTCCTAAGTATGAAAGCTCTGTAAAACCTATTCAGCATCACAGCAACACTTAAACCACCAGTGACAGGAAGTGGCTACACTGAGGAGCACTGGTTGGAAATTGAATCCAGGTCTCCCACATGGAAGGTGAAAATGAAACTTAGTATAGTAAAAACTCTTGAGAAGTCCCACAGCAAAGAAAAGCCTTTCCTAAATGCATTTGACCACACAATGCCCCATTTCTCCCCCAATACTTATTAAAACCTAGTTCCAGTAATGTTCTAAAGCTCATACTTGGAGAAAAAAAAAAAAACACTATTATTTCAGGTATAATATATCTCTCCTCATCTGAATGATTCCTTGGGATACAAGTATGTCTTGTTTTTAAGTTCAGATTCCTACTATATAAAAAGGCGGACTTGAAGATCTGAGGCTGAGAGGCGCTGATTACCTTTGGCAGGTAGTATCCAGCCACAGTGGTATCAAACGTCACTTCCCTGGGCAGATTCAGGGGGAGGATGTTGCCCCTTCTCTGCACCTCATGGATGATGGCATTGGTGTAGGGCATGTGCTCTCGGTCAGTGGTGCGGGGCTGCTGTGATTGGCCAATTACTCTGTCGATCTCTGCTTGTACTTTCTCTGGAAGAGAAAAGAACAATCTATTATTTTTCAAATACTATGTTGTCTTCCAAAGATACAGAGGTGGTTTTCAAGGTCTCACCTGTTGTGTCTCAATTAGTGAGCAGGCTTAAAAAAAAAAAAAAAAAAAAAAAAGTTGTTAATCTTTAAGTAGCTTATTAAGAAAAATTTCAACTCCTTAACTTTCTCTGAGCTTACTAAGGCTAAGTAATGGAATAACCAAGGTCAAAATAGCTAAGATTATAGTGTTGTTGTTGTTAGTTGTCACTGAATTGGTTCCAATTCATGGAAACTTTATGTACAACAGAAGGAAATATTGCCAGGTCCTGTGCCATGTTCATGATCACTGGTATGTTTGAGTTCACTGCTGTGGCTATCGAGATTAACACAGGCTCTACAGACTCTAGTTTCTCAAGGAGGTATATGAGAGTGGAAAGTGGGCTCTGGTGTGAGACAAATGTGGATCACACTCTTGTTCTTAAACTGTAATGGTGTAAATTAATTAATTAATTTTTGTAATCTTTACAAAATCAGACTGCCACATCTTTTTTCCATGGAAGGGCTGGCAGGTTTGAACTGCTGGCCATTGAAGTAGCAGCTGAGCGCTTAGATTTCACACCTGACTAGTGGGGATATATCTACATTCATGTCAAAATTGCATGAACTGATTTAGCTGAGCACACAATAAATGACAGAAATTGCTAGCTACCCCCTAATATCTCCTCTCTCCTCTTTTTCTATAGTAATAAAGATTTCATCGGTTGCCCAGCTAAAAACTACATTTCCCAGATGACTTTGCAACTATGTGATCATGTGACTAAGTTCTGGCCTAGAGAATATTAGAAGTGATGTTTACCACCTCAAACAGGCTCTTTGTAAAGAAAGAAATGTTAGTAATTTCTTGAAGAGTGGGAAACAGCATAAGGAGGCAGTATCTGATCAGATTCTTCAAGAACAGGTCATAGTTTGCCATGTAGGAAAATTGAAGAAGTGCATTCTTGGTAGAGGGAACAACACATGGAAATGAACACAGTCATAACAAGGGAGATGCAATGGAAAAATGTCCTGTGATTTAGTGAGGCCAGCATGTAGAGTAGGTGGGTTTGAAGGTGGCAGAAAAGGGCACATCACAGGATATTATATACCAGACTGAGATGTGTGGACATTATCCAGACAGTGATACTAAGTCATTACTTAAAAGATCATATTTTCATACAAGAATGTCACTCTCTTCTGAAATTTAACACAGTGTCAATTGACTTTATTGTTTTGCCCACTAGATTTTCAGGTCCTTGAGGGAACAGACAGTGTTATATTTGCCTTACCAGGACCTATCACAATCCCTGAAAGAAAAATTAAAGGATGTGCTGGTTCTTGAGTCTCCCTCATGGACTGCTCCACCTGTCTTTTCATTCTACCATGTTATCTTCTGTCCCTAACTCTGGGCAGTATGTTCCAGGAGCTATTCATCTGTCCTGGTCCAGGCACATTCAACCACATGCTCACCTTGGATTTCTGGGTAGATGGCCACGTAAAGAAGAGCCCAGCGCAGCATAGTAGAAGTTGTCTCTGTTCCAGCAATGTAAAGATCCAGTGTGCTGCAGATAAGGTTTTCTTCATGGAAACTTGAAGTCGCATTGCCTGTATACTAGAAATAAAAATGTTTATTGATTTATTCAGAGTCCACATGGTTGCCACAAAACACAATGGTACATGATCCTATGGAACGAATTTAGAAAGAAAGGTCCCTAGGAAAAACAACTTTCCCTTTGACTTCTTCAGAAGACGTAGGGTATTATACCAATATCATTAGCATCAGCCTGTAGCAGGTGCTGCAAGTTACCTGGGCTTCCAGCACTTGAGTAAATGAAAATTAAGACAATCATTTTCTCATACTCGATGGCACACAACAGCAGCAACAACAACATAATCTGAGGAGTAGGTATTAATCCAATTGAAAGAGAATGGCATGTGAAAAAAACAGACTTGAGTTCCAATGTCAGCAGCATCCTCGCTAGCTGTATGACCTAAGGCAAGTTACTTAATCTCTGTGCTTCAGTTTCCTGTTCTGTGACATGGAAATAACCTCAAGATCATATGATGAGCTTCCTGTGATGCAATGGGGACACAGTAAATAATTGAGTGTTCTACGGCTATCAGAAAAACATTAATTCAGTTCTCCTTTCATACAACAATTCTCATATCTCCCCATTTTCTTTTGAGGTTAACTTCTCTAATTCCATCACCCATTCCTCCTGATACCATCATCACCCTCTGGATCCTTCAGTCTGTCAAAATTCCTTTTAATGTAGAGTCCCATACCTGAAAACCATAATGCAATTATGGCCTCTTGCTTTTATTTATGCTCTGCCAACAAGGTGAAACAAGGGAGAAGATGGAAAGAAATCCACAATCTGCCCATTCCAGGAAGGGGAACCATTAATCTGAAGAGTCAAATTATACTGACAACCCTAAGGGACAGAGTAGAACTGCCCTATAGGGACTCCAGTGCTGTAATCTTTACAGAATCAGACTGCCACATCTTTCTCCCATGGAATGGCTGGTAAGTTTGAACTGCTGGCCTTTCAGTTAGCAGCTGAGCGCTTAACCTCTGTGCCATCAGGGCTCCTCAGCTAACTAGGCACAGGCCTATCTAGTGCTAAAACAATGCTTTCATGCTCAATTTTTCTATTTTTTTCCACTTATGTTCAGATCTAGGTAGAAGGCAGAAGTGGGGGATAAGAAGTAGATTTGGGTGTTCCCAGGTCCTCAAGCCAAATACCATTAAAATTTTATCTGTTTTTCCCCTCCCCTCCATCCCTGGTAACCAACAATATGTTTGTGTATTTTGCATCTATTTATGCCACAAATTAGGCTCCCTAAGTTTGCTCCTATTTTATTTTTGATGAACTTTAAAGTTTTGGATTTTACATTTAGGTCTTTGATCCATCCTGAGTTAGTTTTTGTGTATGGTGTGCGGTATGGATCTTGCTTCATTTTTCTGCAAATGGATACCCAGTTTTGCAATCACCAATTGTTACAAAGACTCTTTTATTCCCATTGAATGGATTTCAGCCCTTTGTCAAAGATCTGTTTTCCATGTGTAGATGGATCTATTGCTGGATTCCCAATTCTGTTCCACTGGTCTATGTCTCTATCATTATAACAATACCAGGCTTTTCAACTACCTCTATCTTTATTTCTAATCATCTCTTCAATCCTGAGTTAATACTACTTCTACATACTAAAATGGTGCCTGTTTTTACCCTTATGTGGTAGGCTGAATAATGACTTTCAGAGATGTCCACATCCTAAACCCTAGAACTTGTGAATATGTTGCCTTAATAAAGAAAAGGGAAAGAGCTCTGGTGGTTCAGTGGTTAAGCTCTTGGCTGATAACCAAAAGGATGGTGTTTGGCAACCACTAGCCACTCTGTAGGAATTCTGGTAGTGTAGTGTCTAAGGCACTTGACTGCTAACCAGATGGCTGGTGGTTCAAACCTACAAGCCACTCCTCGGAAGGAAGGCTGGGAAATCTACTTCCATAGTGATACTGCCTCAGAAACCCAAGAAGGGGTTGCTATGAGTCACATCTGACTCCATGGCACATAACAACAACAACAGCCACTCTGTGGGAGAAAGATGCGGCAGTTTGTTTCTGTAAAGATTACAGCCTTGAAAACTCTATGGGACACTACTACTCTGTCCTATAGGGTCTCTATGAGGTGGAATAGACTTACAGCAAGGAGTTTGGTTTATAGAAAAGATACTAAGCAGATGTTATTAACTTTTTGGATTTTGAGGATATTATACTTGATTATCAGATAGCTCCAATGTTATCATGAAGGGCATTATAAGAGAGAGGCAAGAGGGTCAGAGAATATGCAAAGTCAGAAAGAAGCAGTGGTCACAGAGGAGAGAACATGCTGTGCTGGTGGCTTTGAAGATGGAGGAAAAGAAATGAGCCAAGGAAAGCAGGTGCCTCTAAAAGCTGGACCAGGCAAGGAAACAAAATCTCCCCAGAGCATCCAGAAGGAGCCAGCACTACTGATGCCTGAACTTTGTCCAAAAAACCAAACCAAACTCACTGCCATCGAGTCGGATCCAACTCATAGAGACCCCTCCTTGGGTTTCTGAGGCAATATCACGATGGAAGTAGATTACCCGATCTTCCTTCTGAGGAGTGGTTCTGGTTAGCAGTCAAATGGCTTAGGCACAATGCCACCAGACCTTTGTCCAGTGAAAACTGATTTTATATTTCTGATCTTTAGAGCTGTAGGAAAATACATTTGCGTTGTTTTGAGCCACTGAATTTATGATACTTTATTACAGTAGCAAATTTATTACAGAAAAAGTAGGAAAGTAATACATGCCCATTTATTCTTTTTTTGTGTGTAATTGGCATGAAAGTTTACAGAGCAAATTCATTTTCCATGCAACAATTCATACATATTTTGTTTCATGACATTTATTGCAATCCATATAATGTAAGAACTCTCTTCCCACCTCCTCCCTGTGGTTACCTTTTCCCTGTGTCCTTCTCTCCTATGTATTCCTGCCCTCTGAGGTCTCTCCCTGTACAAATACTGCCCCTGTGATCCCCCTGGTTGATCATTTCTAAGGAGTGTACCTACCTGGTGTAAATGTTCACCTTATACACCTATCTATTGTTTGGCTGGAAGCCACAGCAGTCAGTTCAATTCCAGGCCTGAAGGGTAACTGGGGGCCACAGTCTTGGGCATTTTACCAGTCTGTATCAGACCAATAAACCTGGTCTTTTTTTTTATGATATTGAGTTTTGGTTCACATTTTTCTCCCACTCTATCCTGGATTTCCTATTTTGATCCTTTTCTGAGTGGTTGACAGTGGTAGCCAAGAACCATCTAGTTCTTTTGGTCTCAAGGACACGTAAGCTGTGGTTCGCATACTCTACTAATCCCTTAGACTAATTGTTTCCATGTGTCTTCGATTTTCTTCACTCTTCTTTGCTCCAGTAGAGGAGAGACCAATTGTTGCATCCTAGATGGCTGTTGCTGTTGTTGTTGTTATGTGCCGTCAAGTCGGACCTGACTCATAGAGACCCCCTCCTTGGGTTTCCAAGGCAGTATCACTACGGAAGTAGATTGCCCCATCTTCCTTCCAAGAAGTGGCTGGTGGGTATGAACCGCCAGCCTTCTGACTAGCAAGCCTTTAACAACTCAGTCACTACTCATCGAAGTAGGATGTAGAACAATGTTTTTGTGTAGTATGTTATGCCAACTGAGTTTGATGTCCCCTGTAACCATAGTCCTAAACTCATGTGCCCAACAACTCACTTCCTCAGGGTGGGTGGCTGTGGCTAAGAAGTTATCATAACTTTGCCCCCTGTTAGCTCTATTATATATATGGACATTCTGATTGCACATACAAATACATATGTACAATATCACCTAATGGGTATATTCTCTTTTGCCTACACATACCTGATCATTCAACTTGTCTCCCTATCTATCCACCAATACATTGGTGGTGGTACCTAATGCTAGGTATTACTTATAATGTAGTACTGTTATGGGAAAGAATTTATCTTTGTAGTCTGTACCTCCTGTGAACCTCTCTCTGTCTTCCTTTTCCTTAGTGTTACTGTGCTGCTCACTTGTTTTTGGTATATAGCCTTTCCTTTTACTCAATCCAATACTTGCCTCTTACCTATGTATCAATTTTTCCTCATTCCCTCTGACCCCTGGTAACCAAAAAATAAAGTTATCTTCCATATGTAAACATTTCCCTGACTTTTTACAATAGTGAACTAATATAGTATTTGTCCATCAGTGACTGACTTATTTCACTCAGCATAATGTCCTCCATGTTCATCCATGCAATGAGATGTTTCACAGATTCTACATTATTCTCTAGTGTTGCACAGTATTCCATTGTGTGTATGGACTATTATTCAGTTATACATCTCTCCACTGATCAGCACTTAAGGTGGTTTCTATCTCTTTGCTATTGTGAGTAGTACTGTGATGAACATAACTATGTCCTAGCTCTCAATTCTTTAGGACATATACATAATAATAGGATTGATGGATCAAATGGTATTTCTATTTCCAACTTTGTAAGGAAGCAACATACAGTTTTCCACAGTAGTTGGATCATTTTACAGCCCCATCACCATTTGGTCATCTTCCTTCCGAGGAGTTCACAAAGACTTAAGGGTAGAAAAGCCACACCATGTAATTTACTACACCACGCTTGCTCTGTGGTCTAAGGAGCTCTGGTAGCATACTGCCTAAAGCACTTGACTGCTAACCAGAAGGCTGGTGGTTCAAACCCACCAGCCACTCCTCAGAAGGTAGATTGGGCAATCTACTTCCATAGTAATACTGCCTTGGAAACCCAAGGAGGGGTTGCTATGAGTCGGGTCTGACTCGATGGCAACTAACAACAACAATAACAACTGTAGCTAACATAAAATCTATCCTGGAGAATGTTCCATCTGCTCTGGAACGTATATTGTGTTATTGGTTGAATTGCTCTGTAGATATCTACAAGGTCAAGTTGATTGATTGTATTGTTTACTTCTTCTATGTCTTTGTTGAGTTTCTTTCTAGTTGTTATATCTTTTCATTGCAAGTGGTGTATTAAAGTCTCCTACAATTATTTGTC